CAAAAGCTTCTAAATTGAATGGCTAACAGTACTTCATTAAGACTAATCAAGTGACACATTAGACCAGCGGTTTTCAAACTGTTCTGGGAAATGCTAAGGTCCTACAGAGAAGCTCCGTACAGAGTGCTGGGCAGGGGCGAGGGAGGAAGCCCGATGGGGGGGACCAAGTGGACCTGCCCCTTTCCCACTCTACAGTATTTCCACTTGGATCTGTCTTATGCATTAAAGGCCTGCATAAGATTTTATTTGGAAACACGGTTCTGCTACTAAAACAAAAGTATAGTATCTTACAAGGGATATTTTAGTGCTGGTTACCTGCCAGGAAAACATTTGCTTTTTCCTGACATGAACTAAACCCCGTGAATCAATTCGGCTAATTCAGTCTCCGTAAGGATGGGGACTAGTCTTCATCCTCCATCTTTAGATGCCCAGGCAGCTAGCAGAGTCCTGCATACGACGGGGACCAGCGAAGTGTTGGCAGAGAGTATTTCCCCCCCCAAAATATTTTAGTGATGGTACAGGTTACTGGTTGCTTCCTAGGAAGTTTGTGTCGGAGAAATCAAACAACAGACTATTTTCACTTGTATTGATAAGACTTGCGGTACATTTAGTCCCATAGTTTCTTGGTTCTGCACTCTAAGCATTTTATTTCAGTCATTGATTTGGGTTGTAATCATTATACAGTGGAATTGTATCTCCAAAGTTTTACTGAACTTACTTTCTTGGACTGCTCAGCCATGTGACACAACAAAGCAGCTGGACCACACCAGGCACACGACACACCCTAATTTCCCAGAGAAACTCTGAGGGGCTGATTCAGAGAAGATGGCAGCATTGTTCTCATATATTGACTTATTTAAGAAACAATTTTGATAAAATGTAACCAAAATGTTAAAAGCAACAACAACAACAACAACAAAAACCCATTTATTGGGTGTCAAGCAGGTGGGAGGGGAGAGGAGGGGATGGGTATATACATACATAATGAGTGCGATGCACACCATCTGGGGGATGGACACGCTTGAAGCTCTGACTTGAGGGGGGAGGGGACGCAAAGGCAATATATGTAACCTTCACAACATTTGTACCCCCATAATAGGATGAAATGAAATAAAATAAAAAAGAAAGAAACAATTTGGGCATCACAAATTACAAAAAAAAAAAAAAAAAAAAAAAAGCGTTAAATTTCCATCCGAGGGAAGCAGGAATCCTGGACTGTTTTCCAAGCCCTTGGACGCTGGTAAATGAGGTTTGCCCCAGGCCCCCGAAATTTCCTCCCTTCAATCTGTTCACCCCTCTGTCACCCTTCACAACCCTTCGGGCCTCTCCTTCCCTCTTGTGTACTAAAAAGAGAATTTGATAAACTCAGCCATGCTGGCTCAGGTGGATGGAATTGAATGTGTCACCCTCCCCTTGCAAGAAGGCTTGCAGGTAAGAAAAATCGAGTCAATAGTGTCACATTAGTGGCCCGGATATATATATGTGAGAAGATTTTAAGAAATTGAAAAATAAAGCCAAGGGAGGTCTGATCCTCTCAGCATGTTTATATATCTTTAGAGCATGTCTAAAAAATGGCCCCTGCCCTTTGTGAACTTAATATATAGTGGTGGCATTTGCAGGCTGCTTTTTTTCTTCTAGACAATTCAGTAATGAGGATGCTCCCCAACACTATTTGTAGCAAATCAGCCAAAGATGTGATCTGGATATACTAAAGCCCATCTGGCAAATTTCTTCAGCCTACCAGATAAAAGGCAAACTTCCGCCTGACATTCCAGACCTTCCAAGATCTGACCCCACCTGCCTCATTAACCTTATCTCTCACTAATTCCTAACCATATGCAACTAAACCATTTCAAGTTCATGGGTATATGCTATATTTTCACATTTTTTCTTACCTATTGCTGTGGAAATAAATTACCCCAAACTTAGTGGTTAAAACAATAAGCATTTATTATCCTATTATCAGTTACTGTGGGTTAAGAAATTTAGGAACAGCTTAGCTGAGTGGTTCCAGCTTGACATTTTTCAGGTTACAGTCATGCCTAGACTTGAGGATCTGTCTCCCACGTGTCTCACTAGCAAGTTGGAGCTGGTATTGGGGTGAGGACTCAGTTTCTCTCCACATGGGTTTCTCCCAGGACTGTTTGAGTGTAACTGCTGGATTCCCCAAAGTCAGTGATCCAAGAGAGACAGCTGGGTGTGAGCTGTCTTTTTGACCCAGCCTCATGTGTCACATGGTATCACTTCCACCATATTCCGTGTGTTAGAAGTGAATCACTAAATCCAGCCCATGTTTAAGGGGAAGAGAATTCGGCTCCATCTCTGAAGCGAAGAATCTCTAAGAATTTGTGAACACATTTTAACCCACCATAATGCTCCTGCCCCTTTGCTCATTCTGTTCCTTCTGCTGAAAATACTCTCTTCCCTGTCAGTGTACTACAATCTTACATGCCTTTCAAGACCCAGTTCAACTGTCACTTCCTCCAAAAAGCCTTTCCAAATGCCTCCTAAGAACTTTCCTTTCTTTGTATTCCCATTATATTTTCTACTTTTTTTTTTTTTTACTGCATTTATTGCTTTTCAACTTAGGTGATATGAACACATGTATGCCAAGCCAGGGTTTATCAGCTTTGGCACTACTGATGTTTCAGGCTGGATTCGTTGGTGTGGGGAAGCTGTCCAGGGTACAAGATGTTCAGCAGCATCCCTGGTCTCTTCCAACTGGGTGGGAGCAGCACCGTCCACCAGCAGTGTGATGATCAAAAATGTCTCTGGATGTTGTTGAATGTTCCGTGGTGGGCAAAGATGATCCCTGGTTGAGATCCACAGTTCTAAGCAATTAAGGTCTGTGATTCATTTTGTATCCCCAAGTCACTACTCTAAAAGACTATTCTAACATGCTAGAAGAACAGACTTTATCCTTTCCATCTTCATGTTGCTAAGGATACCTGAGTTGTCCTGTCCAACCTTTCCTTCTTTTTTTCTTTTCGGCTTAAACTAGCTTCTGTTGCCTTCTATGTAAAGAAATGTAATTAACAAAGACCAACTCATCCTTCAAGGCCTGCATCAAATACCACTTCTTCCAGTTTTCCCCAGATGTCTCGGAAAAATTTATCTTTTCCTCCCCTTTATGTTTTTATTTATTTATTTATTTTTTTCAAGACTGTGTCTCACTCTGTTGACCGGGCTAGAGTGCCATGGTGTCAGCCTAGCTCACAGCAACCTCAAACTCCTGGGCTCACGCAATCCTCCTGCTTCAGCCTCCCAAGTAGCTGGGACTACAGGCGTGCACCATTATACCCGGCTAATTTTATATATATATATATATATATACACTTTTAGTTGTTCAGCTAATTTCTTTCTATTTTTTTTAGTAGAGATGGAGTCTCACTCTTGCTCAGGCTGGTCTTGAACTCCTAATCTCAAATGATCCACCCACCTCAGCCTCCCAGACTGCTAGGATTACAGGTGTGAGCCATGACGCCTGGCCCCCATTATGTTTTGATTAGCGCTTTCCACAGACTGGTAGTACAGTCAGGTTTCCATATACTCAAATGCTCCCTCAACCCAGGACCAGGCGTCATGCCCAGAACAGAATAGGCTGGATCTAATTGCGAATGAAATGGATTTTCATTTGGGGCTGTAATGCAAATGTATGTACAAAGTGACCACATTACCAGGGAAAAAGAGTTTGGAGGCCAGTCTGGCAAAACTTGCTCTCGATGCTTTTTTGCTATTTCACGATTGTTAGAGGCTGTTGGCACACAGAGGAGGATGAGAGGGCTCAGTCTGGCTGATGACTGATCAGGTTCAAATCCCATCTTTACCACTTACTGTGAGGCCTTGGGAAAGTTACTTAATTATTCTGTGCCTCCAACTCAATGGTTCCTTGCCCTATGAATATGATGGGATATCACACCCAGGATTATATTACATGCAAAAGGATTTTCCAGATGTAATTAAGGTTATTAATCAGTTGATTTTGAATTAGTCAAAAGAAAAATTATCCTGGTGGACATCCCTCATCCAATCACTTTTAAAGCCCTTTTAAAAGCAAAGCATTTTCTCTAACTGGTAGCAGATGAAAAAGTCAGGAGATGTGAAGCACAAGCAGGATTTGATATACTGTTGCTGGCCTTGAAGATTGAAGGGGCCACATGCAAGGACTGGAGAGTGGTCTCTAAGAGCTCAGAGTGACCCTAGTCAACAGCTAGTCCTACAATCATATGAACTGGGCACTAAGTGCCTTGTAGGTGTGACAGGTTGGAGCAGGGTTGTAAAAGTTTCCGTAAACTGTGGAAAGTGGTTTGGACTTTTACTCCGCTACTATTGGCAGCACATTAAAATCCTTTAAAACTAATTGAAAATACCTGGAATGAAAAATCTACTGTAGTATATGTATGAATATGTATGTATATAATATCTACAGTTTTATATTTTATATATATAAAATGTTTTAATATATGAGGTAAGTGGATAATTCATTTTAATACTTTTTCTCCCCTTTAATATAAAATTGTAAAATTGTTACAACTAAGTTAAAATGTTTATTAAGTTCAACAAAAAAAGCATTTACTTACAAAACAATTTTTTTTTCTTTTGAGTAGACAAAAATATTTTGATACAATACAGAAAACTATCCATCTTCAACAAAATTTTGATATCTTCAAACATGCTTATGACATGGGATAATTATGTATACACAAGATCTTTTCAATTAACCTCTCCTTTAGTAGTTACATTAAGAGATTACTATATCTCTCAAAAGCAAACTGCTGCAATTTAAAATACAATTTTCAGTAAGATCTGGAATGATTTTTCCTAATTACCAAACATGTCAGGATTTGTATTTTCTCCTATACTCAGATAAAGAAAAATATTTGTTAATATTTCTGCAACCGTTTTGTTTTGTTAATTGAACCTATAGGTACTTTGTTTGTGTAAGCACATTGATTAGCAGGCCTTTCTCTTTAGAGAAAGAGAAGTTATTTTTTAAAAAATTAAATATTTCTGCTCATACTACAGATTTAGAAATAAATGTTGAAATAATATAATTGAGCCAGGATTGCTCATTTCTCTCCCCCTTCCCTGAGGTGCTCCATGGGAATAAATTAAGTACTGAGGGAGGTGCATTAAAATCAGGGAGTCTCCCTGTGGTTAACAGCAACTGAATATCCTGGGTACCTAATTTATTATCAGATTGACTTACACTCTGGGAAAATTCTGGACCACTAAACTAAAAGTAAGATTACATCAATGGATTTTTAAAAGAGTATGCTTTAAGAAAGATTACATGCAAACATTTTAATAAACATTAATTATACCAAGGCTATCAGAATGTTAGTCTTATAATAATTAGCACCAGCTACTAGGTATGTCTTTCTCTGATTAAATTAATTCTACCACACTGTCTACTTCTCTTGATTTAGCTCAGAGGGGGGACCATAAGGAAAAATGTTTGAAAATATCTTCATGAATCAGTTCTTTTATGTATAGAAGTTTTAATCACATGACTTAGGCTTCCTTACCAAATACCTTTGTTACTTAAAAAAATATATATGTCCATGATATACTTTATTTTAACCCAGAAAGTTTGATCTACATTAATTAAAAAATAAAAATTACAATGCCAATTATACAAATATGTCAGAAAACAACACACCCTAATGTATTTCCAAAGGAAAATTTGTCTTTTAACAACTCAAAAAGTCACATCCTTCCCAGTGTTAACTAAGAACATGCATGATCTAAAATAGTTTTCATATGACTGTTATTAGCAATGGAGCAGTCATATATAAACATGTAAACATTTAAAGATAATAGTGCCTTTGAAATGTTGCAAAATGTCAACTCTATATATTACAGTTTAAGACTAACAGAACAGTGAAGGTAACTACTAGAATATAAATGGTTATCAGTTAAAATTTAGTTACTGCTCAATAATTCATTCTAAAAAGACAATGAGTTTTGATAAATTTGGACTACAGGAACAGGTATTTTTCCTGAAAAAGTATTTCTCTTCTTGGTCATGGTGCACCACTCTATCCCTAGCTAGTATGGTTGTACCTCATTCATTGTAACAGGTGATTATATTCAAATGGCATTTAACATAAACTGCACCAAACTGCCCTATAATTTCATTTTGGACTGAATTAATTAACTTCTCAGTAGGTGGCTAAGGTGCAGAACATAAGCCTAAAGAAATATTTGACTGCTTAACCTACCTTACATGAGTTGTCTCTAATTCAAGACAGCTTCCATTTTTAATAAGTAGTACCAGGTAAAATGCATTTATTAGGATCCTAAAGGGTAAAGATAAGGCATTTATAATAAATGGATTTAGTTTTCCACATATACTCACATCCATTTAAAAGAAGTCAGGGAGCACTGCAGATAGTTAAGGAGAATTTAACAAAACTCAGCAAGAGTTGGCAGGCCCAATATTTTTGAAAGACTATTTACCTTAGGAGGTGTACATTTATAATTAAAAAAAAATGCCTCCTTTGTCCTTGTAAGATATGAAAATAAAAAAAAAAACACATCACTTTGTGGCAATTAAAAGTAATACTATCTTAATGCTATTGTAAGTAATTTATATCCCAGAGCTTGAAATATAAATGTAATTGTCTAAGTCTCTAAGACATTATTTCAGATCATCAGAATTATCATATCATAAAATATCTATTCCATTACGTTTCTCCAATTATAATATTATCAAGATCTGACAGCTCTTTGTTTCAAATTTATAGTCTGCATATATCAAGAAACAAAAGGACAAACAAGGAATGTAAAAGCCAGCTCATAAAAAGTAGAAACATTTTTCATATTACATAGCATATCTGTCATACATTTCTGATTTAGGAAATGTGAAAACAAATACTTCTTCTGATGAACTCCTTGATATAGTGTTAAACTTAGTATTTTTAGATTTTTTTTAATTGTGAAGGAAAGAAGGAGAAAGAGGGAGAGAGGCAAAGGAGGAAGGGGAAGATAGGAAAGAAAGGAAAGGAAGGAAGGAAAAAGAAAGAAAGAAAAATCAATTTTATATTATAACTGTCATTTGGGGCAGGGGTGAATTAGCATTTCATGAGCACAACGGTCAAAAAAAGCACAGCTGAAGACTCTAGGCTGATTTCAAAGGCTTTGTAACATACAGTAAAATGGGCCCCCAGAAACAGACTAAATAATTTGGCGGAGGAGTGGTCCTTGGTCAGTCTTCACCTAAATTGTTCTAGGAAGAAGGGCTTTACGCCTCTGAGGGGACAACTGCTAGGTAATTTCTGTCTGAATAAATTCTTTTTCCTGTACAACTTAAATTCTTCCTGCTATAATTTGCATGAGGAGAAATGACAAGAATATATTAATAATTTGGAAGTTTTAATACTGGTTTGTAATAAAGGAAGGCACCAACTAGGAAAAAAAAGAATGCTTAGATGCCAGTTTCAGAAACAGTTTTGCCTGCAGCATCTTCTAGCTCAATAATTTAGTGGCAATGACAGTCACAAACACTGTCAAAAAACAGCAGTGAGATTTGAAAAAATAAAAATTCAAATGATAATATCCTTTAGATTTTTAATATGTCATTTACTGAAATGGCAATTACAACAGAAATTTATGAGAGCCTTTTAGTTAGAAAAAATAAATTAATCTACCTTTTCAGGCTTTCATACATGTGGTTATCTCTAAATTCCATCAGGCAACCATATAGCGTTTTCTTTTCACCAAATACTATGTCTGTCCTAGTGTTGCCAGTCACAAGAGATCTTTTGTGTCATTATTCCCTCAAGTTCCAATTCTTACTAGGAGTCCTGGGCAAACACAAAAGTGACCTGGCAGTTACATCATTCTCTATAAATGAAAAAGACTCTGCTATCTAAAAATAATGAAAGACTCCATTTAAATTAATGTTTTTTTGGGTCAAGTGTTCATTTTATTTTGTAATAATGCAGTTCTGATCCAAATAGAGTTCTTACTAGCTTTAAAAAGATCTCTAGAGATTATATACAGGGCAGTAATTTAATTCTTATATTTTTATTTCTTGCAATGACATTTAGGGTTCAGTGTGATTTGAGATTTTTAGTGCTATTGCTGACACCTTATGGAAACTGTTTTATTTGGAAATACTGATCAGATTTTTAAAACCATTCGGCTCCTGTTTACAAGTATTATTGTAAAAAATGGATTTTTTGTTCCTTTAAGGTATTCTTCCCTTGCTATTTATTCCTCACTTGATTTTATAATCCTGTTTGGGTCACTATGATTAGTTGCTATGGAAATTACCTCCTATGGAAATGATTCCAATGTCATTATTGTAAGAATGACTTTTAATGAATAATATCAATAGCAGACATCAATCCTTACTAGCAAAAGGAAATCTAATTAAAATTTTGAAAAAAAGGATTAATTCTGAAAATTATTACCATGGCCAACTTTTCTGATATTTTTGAATCTCCCATCTGCTTTTTAAATAAGTATTAAATGAATTTTAAAGTGTTAATCAGCTACTCACTTCCTCAAATTCCAAAGTCACAATGGAAATTAGCACCACACACAGAAAATTGGATGTAAAGAACATTTCATCTACCATTTCTCTAATCTAATAAAAGTTATGCTTCATTTATGAGAGTTAATGTCAACAGGATTTCAGGGCTCATCAAGGAAACAACTTTGAATAGCACATTACAAATTCCCTTTAAAGATGAAGAATTTAATATTCCAAAATTTATCCCAGGAATTTAAAAGGTCAGGCCTATAAACTAGTGAGTTAAACAATAGAGGAGAGCCAGTGAACCATTAGATGAGAATTCCAGAATGCTAAGTAAAAAATTTTCTTGGGTGGATTCTATAATTTGTGGTTTGAATAAAACCTTTGAAACATTCCATTAGTATTAAAATTCTTACAATGAGAATATGGCTCATATTTAACACATTTTAAATTACTAGACAGTCTCTCCCCAACAGAAACTTTAATGCTTTCTTCCGCCTAGTGCTTATTCACTGCCTGGTACTAATTTAGGAATAAATTAACCCTTCCAACAATTAGGATATTGTCTATCAACTGCCTCTTGCACTCTGCTGGGGAAATCAGTTATATTCTGAAGATCAGAAGTAAACGAGAAATCCATTTCTTCATTACAAGATGTTTTTCTATATCTAACAGCTTACTAATTATTGATGTAAATCACTATCATAATTACCTATTATAATTATATATTACTATATTTATAATACCCCAGAATTAAGCCTCATATCTATAGATTTTGTTAAATGTTTTATACATTAAGGATTTTCTATACTTGTGCCTGCAACCACGATCGAGGGTCCAAAATGTCTTTGATGGATTTCTGCCTTGGAGCTGGCACTGGCTTGGCTTCAAAATTGGTTTTAGTGTCTGCGCGCTCACCATCACTTAAACTATTTTTCCTGGCAGAAAGCAGTTTTCGAGGAGCAGCCATTGGTTTCTGTAAGTGATGCATTAGGGTTGATAGTTTGGTTTCCAAAGTCAAGGTCTGAGGTACACTTGTTTTTCCCCAGTTGTCCTTAACAAATTGATCTGCATTGCTCTGTGTTTTTAAGCTGAATGGAGGTTTGTCAGAAGGGGGCAGGGGCGCTCGTCTCTTTTTCCTTTTCCCATCATGTAACTGCTCGCCTGCAGGAGACAAAACCTTTTTCTGGATGACCATTTGATGATTACCATCAAAGAGTGTGGCCCAAGGAGGTGGTAAGGATCCTTCATGCTGACCAATAAGAAACTGTCCATTTGTCTCCTCAATTTTTTTTTGTATTATATCAGTTAAACTTTCAAGTTTCATTGGTGAATCAATGCCTGAAATAATTTTAAAAATATATGAAAAAATTAAAAAGCAATAATATGTACTTTATGTGAATAAGTTATTATTTTCCAAATGAGTATGTTATATATAATGGTCATCAAAAACTTAGATTAGGATAAGCAATAAGCAATAAAGTATGTACTTGTAAAAATAATTATACCAAGAGAACCAAAAAAAAAAAAGGAGATCATGTACTGCACTATATACATATTATATATATATGCACATATATACCTAAAAAACATAGTGTATATAAAATATATAGCATATATATATACACACATAAATATATTCCTAAATAAATTAGTAAAATCCAGCTTTGAAAGAATTAGAGTTATATGAGTATTTTTAAAAATTATATAGATTAATTATTTATTAGATAAGTTTTCTTGGATTTAAAACCTTATTCGGACTTCTAGGTAAGAGTGGGTTCCCTTTATACAAAAGCTTAATGTATAAACTGGGATGACTGTAACTGGATCACAGTTTTCTTTCCTGTAGACCAGCAGAGTCTCTGTTAAAAGGGAAAAAAAAAGCCCAAACCAAAAATCCAGGGAAATAAGAGTAAACCCCTCATACCACTTTGATGATAAGGGTTTAGGTAAAATTTTCCCTGGGAAAAATAAGAGAACAGATATAAATGTCTATTAAATAAATTATTGGTATTTTCAGCTGTGTAAATCCAAATGTACCATTTTTAATCTTATATTTTCAAGTACAGGTATGTGCAGGTACAATAGTGGCAAATTAGACTAGAATTTAGGCCTGGAATACACTTTTCCCAATACTATTCACTGAGGCCATTCCATAAAATAAACAAACACCCCTCAAAGTGTGGGAAAATGGAATATTAATGAGTCTAGAAACTTTAAATTTTCCGAAGTATTAAACTTAATTTTTTTGGCCATAGATGAAAGCTTCCATTAATATTCATTTATCAACACTACTTAAAAACAAATTTAATAAAATATAGAAAAAATTACTGAACATGATTACATTGTAGAATCTTCAAGTTTATATTTTCAGAATTTTCATCAGCTATCAGGTAATATTTATTTTCACTGTTCCTTTATTCATTTTAAGCCTTAAAATTTTGTTTGATCTTAAGCATTCAAACTATGAAAAAATGTATATTCATTAATTTTGTATTAATTCATCTATTAAACATGAGTTCCTCAGTCTATAATCATAGTCTCTTTTTATTCATTTTGATTGTGTTCTGAAAATTTTAGCATTTTAATGTCAATAGAATAAGCTGCTCGAGTATGGACAATGTTGTTTTTGTTATCCTGCAGCTTAGAAAAGACAAACCCCACTTACTCATATCATGGTAGACTGAGGTCGCCTCTTTTGTCAAGAACAAAGGTGGTTTCCGTGGTGACATAATCTCAATTTTCATAAGTTCTTCACAACAGTGCTTCCATTGGCCTAAGAAAGGCAGAAAAAAAGCAGGCTAGTTTAAAACATAAATGTGAAGATATATATTTCATTTTGAATAGATATCAACATGTTTTGCTTTGAAAAATAAAAGTGAATTTATAAAGCATTATTTTAAGGGACCTTACACAAAAACCTAGTACTACCCATAATTTCAAAGTCTAATTCTGGGCATGAAAGTAATCTCTTTAAAAAACAGAGTTCTACACACAGATTTCCTAAGATCTCCAGGATAGTAAATACTTTACTATTGCACTAAATGGTCAATAACTACTTTAAAATTTCTATTCATGTACAGATACAGGCTGCTGTCAAAAAAAAAAAAAAAAAAAAAAAAAAAAAATTTCTATTCATGGCAAAAGTTTGTACAAGTTCTTTTCTTTTAAATGATAAATGAAAACATCAAGTAAATTAAGATAGTTGAAAGGTTAAAAATTAACTGAACTATAACTACCTAGAAGGAAAAAAATCTAAGAAGCAGTGGTTCTCAAAAATGGCTTTAACTTTGAAAATTTTACTTAAGAAATAATAATTGTTTATTTAACAACTGTCTCTTTAAGATGATTATCATGCTTTTCAAAATCATCTAACTGTTGTAGAGAAACATATTTTCATTTAAATAAAATGTATATAAAAACCCTATTACTACATTCACTCAATAAAATTCTGAGCCTAATCTGTTTTAGGAAAGACATTTTAAATAAAACCATTAGGAATTTGGAATAAGAAAAAAATATTCTTAATAAATTATTTCAACTATTATTATAAGTTAAAATTTAAAAGTGGGGATATTATTAACTTTTCTTTTAATTATGTTTCACACTATTTTAATCTTAAAACAAAATTTTCAGAATTATTTCTCCTGAGCAGCTATCAAAAAATTTAACCTTTCCATATTTATTGCATACCTGCATGCTAGATAAAAACTGTGTTTGACACTATGTATACATAAATTTATAAAAGGAATTTATTGAGGTTCACCATTCTTACAGCCTGTCTTACAGTAGCAGAAAAGTAAATGTAATACATTCATGTGCCTTTTTAGATTGATTTATGATCTACATTTCTCTTCCTTTTATTACTATTATGTTCTCAATATCCATATTCAATATTCAACTTGGTTATTTTCCATAGCTTAAAAATTAAAGATATTTCATGTTTAGTCAAATTATTTATTCATTTTTATTATTTTTAGTCAAATATATTGTTATGATAATATAGTACCTATGCATAAATTTTAAATCTATTACCTTAAATAGTTAAGAAACATAAAAAAGCCTTTTGGTATGTTTTGTTATGGTGCTAAGTACAGAATATGGTAAAAATTTCAAAATAACCTACACAGCAACTCACAAAGGGAATAAATTCCTGAGTAGGCTTCAATGGTTGCTCTCCAGAATTTAAATCTAGTAGGATCTGAGATCTGATAACTTATTCTTCCCTCCACTTCCTCTTTTAGATAAATATATAAAAGCCAGTTTTTTCTTCTTGGGGGCAGGAAAAAAAGCCCTTATCTAATGGAAAAATAATGAAACACTTTAAACTGGCAAACATTTCTGTCACAGTTTTAGACAAATTTATTATAAAGTACAATGTTTTCTCTATATTGACAGATGAAAGTATTTCATTGTTAAACCAGTAGAATACTAATCATAATGAAAATTGGAATATAATGCCACATTATTCCACGTGTTACTAAAGTCAGAGGTACAAATGTGGTATGTTCACTGGTCAAGACTATACAACTGCAACATTTATTTTGCTGGTAAATAAAATCTGTATGCATAGTTATACAAGATAGCCAATATGCTAACATGAAAACAAAGGGCCAATATGAAATATTAAATGGATATGTTTTACTCATATAACAATCTATATATTGAAGATGTTTCCCACAATACTATTTATTGTTATAATGTTCCCAGTCAAAATTATTATGCTAAGCTGCTAATGTAACTCAATAGTTATATTATTAAATATTTGAAAAAACTTAATGTTCCAAGTCTATTTTAACTTTTTATATCCTCAAACCACCATTCTAGCTCTAGCCCTATTGACCATCATGAACAAGTGTCATTCTTTTATGTGTTTGTTACCTCTCAAGTATCAAGAATAGCTATTACATCCTCCTTGTTCCTCAATCTTCCCCCCCCTCCCCCGCCACTGGCTATTCTTCCCCAGGCTAAACAGACCTACTTCCATCAATGTTTTCTCATTAATTCTCTCACCCTCCTGGTTTTCTACTCTTAAGTGGGACCAAAGAATTGAAATTTGCTACAGATATTAAATTATTCTCACTTTATTCTGTCCTGGATGTCTATCCTCTACTTTGTTATATACACCATACTTCAATCAACATGACAAGAGGCCACACCTGTCACTAGAAAAGTAAAAATTTTAATGTACAAGTTTTAGGATAGTATATAAACACTTCCATCTTTGCTTCACATCTCCATACTGAAGTATAGATGTAATAGAATTTGTACTTTAAAAATTACATAGGCTGGCAGTGTTTATGCAAAAAAAAAAAAAAAAAAGCATTAAATACCAAAGAAGTAAGCAGACCTGAGAACCAAGTTGTTATCACTTTCTTATTATTTTGACAGTACAAAAATGTCATGAGATTCTTATCCCTCCAGCTCCCCACTTTAGCATGATAAATTATTTCACATAATCTAGATAATGAAAACATGAGCTTATCATCTAATAGTAGCTGATATGCGGACTACTATATTCTGGCATTACACCCTTCATTTATCCCACCCTCCTGCTTTTACACAAATACAGTTTATAAAATACTAGAATCATTTCTAAAAATAACATAGTCTTTTGTAAGACAGACTCTCTAAATCAGAATATTTAGGAAAGCAGTTAAAATTTTATCTATGATCAACAAAATAAAGGAAGTTTCTGTCTTTTAGATTACTCACCTAAGATCTGCTGAAATTTCTGACTAAATAAATGTAGTACATGCTGATAAGTATGGAACAAATATTTAAACATTTAAACATTTATTGAGTGACTAGAGATGGTACTTAGGGAAAACATATCCTAAAGAATCCAAGAAGGCCATGGAGGGAATCCTCTAGTTCAATGCCATCAACCAGAAACCTCTTCAGGATTAAGTTTTCTCATCTTTAGAACAGAAGGAAATAACTTCTACCTCACAAGGATGTTATGAGAAATAAATGAAGTCATCTGGAATATGGGAAATAATTAGTAAATGTAGTTCCCTTTCTTGCCTCTTCCCCAACCATCACTATAATTAATACTTGGTGAGGCTGTGAATCACAGTAGGCCTTAAAAAATTAACTTAAAGACTGCAGGTATTAACTCTTCATAGTGTTCCAGATAACAGAATTCCTAAATATCTCTAGATTATTTCTAGGAGTTATGGAAATAACTTTCCATTGTTTAGAAATGGCTCTACTAATTCTATAGAATAGCATTCTATAAACATAAAATGCTGGTTCAATCTAATAGTAGGCTAATTTGAAAAAAAATAGCCATCAACAGTCTACATTTTCAATATAAAATGGTAGATAATAAATATGCTGTTAAATTTATTGTCAGTAGAGACAAAGAACAAATAAAACTGTAATATTTTCCTGTTGATAAAATTCTTTCTTGAGAATTAAATATTAGAACCTCATATATTTTATACACTAGAACCCTATTACATTACTATGGCCATAGCACTGCTTTTTATAATCCATGTCACTGGACTGTATTAATAAGATGAACAAACCATATGTGTGGTCTTAAAAAATATCTCTCTGGATGATGTCCAGGATGATATTATAACAAATCTGGACTTAACAGAAGGTTACATAAAAATGAGACTCCTGGCCGGGCGCTGTGGCTCACGCCTGTAATCCTAGCTCTTGGGAGGCCGAGGCGGGCGGATTGCTCAAGGTCAGGAGTTCAAAACCAGCCTGAGCAAGAGCGAGACCCCGTCTCTACTATAAATAGAAAGAAATTAATTGGCCAACAGATATATATATAAAAAAAAAATTAGCCGGGCATGGTGGCGCATGCCTGTAGTCCCAGCTACTCGGGAGGCTGAGGCAGGAGGATTGCTTGAGCCCAGGAGTTTGAGGTTGCTGTGAGCTAGGCTGACGCCACGGCACTCACTCTAGCCTGGACAACAAAGTGAGACTCTGTCTCAAAAAAAAAAAAAAATGAGACTCCTTCTGAACATTTCAATATTTTAGAATCATCATCCTGGAAAAGGTTTTTGCTCCTTAAAAGGCTTCTTACCTCTTGAATCAAACACATTGTGTGAAGTGGTTAAAATCTAATATTTGAGAGAATGTGGTCTGGTTGTTTTAGCAACCAAAGGAACTTGAAGAATAAGATAGGGATGCTAAGAATTCAATAGTCAGTTTCAGGCTATCAATCAAGAGATTGAAAAAAAGCACCAATGCATTGATGATATACTACCTTTTTTCAACAGCATAAAAAAATTCTTGCTACAAACTGTAAAATTATAATTTTAATATTTAGATTGCTGTGTGCATCCTTACAGGCTATATGAAGAATATACTACTAGAAAATGAAAATATCTACTTACTAAGATCAAAGAAATGCTGCCAGAAGGCTTCCATCCACTTCTGAATATCTTCTCTATCGTCAACTGCAAAAATCTGAGTTATAGCTTGTCCAGCAACAGGGTTGATGACAGAGAAACTACGGATTCTTTTCTTGGAATCCTTATCCATTGCCCGAATTCTGGTTTCCTAAAAATTAAGAGAAAATTGGTATTTTACAAGAGACATTGCTGTAATGATCAAATAAATATTTTACTCCTCAGCTACTATTTACACCAGATGTAATTATAATCTTATTGCTGATCATTTGAAATGTAAAATATGTAGTTTTGAGAATTTTCAATATTCAAACTCAGATCTAGGTTTTTTAAAAGAATGCTTTACATTAAAAAACTGAATAATGCTTTAAAGTATGGTACATATAGGACTTATGCCAAATTATATGAGATTAAAACATAACCTCTGTTTTGATCTATCTCAGTTTAAGTGGGAGTTTGCTGGCTATTATATACATCTTAAAATTTGCAATAAAACAAGTATAGCATGTCATAACTATAGTATGAATTACATGCTAACCACATTTTCAACAGTAATAAAATACAAAGTATGTTTCTTATTCTAATATTCATGTATAATATCTAGTGTTATCAGTTACAGCAATAAAACCGTAACTTAGTGTTTACTGCAGCAAAACAGTTAGGTTTTCCTCATTAACATTTATTTTGTATGTAACACTCATTTACAAAGCTCATAGCTAAAGATACATAAAGTAATATAATCCTCATAACGTTAAGATTATTTTTTTAAATGCTCAATGACTCTACGACAAAGGCAATGGTTTCACTCATGCTGATAGTCTAAATCTTTTTTATGAGCGGGGTACTGGGTATGACATTGTAATGACACTTATTGAATCTGTATGTAGAAGAGAGAAGCCTACTCCCAAGTCACACACAGGGATGGCAATGGCACATAGCAAGCTAGCAACTATATGTAGTTTAGACCAAGGAACACTGGGAAATAAAGTCTGGACGAGAACTATCTATTATACAAAGATAGAAATGTGGCTGCCTGCATAATGATTAGTGTTACACTACTCTAGGGTAGCACTGTCCAATAGAATACAATGTGAGACACATATGTAATTTAAAATTTTCTAAAAACCACATTAAGTAAAAAAGAAACTGGTGAAATTAATTTTAATAATTTATTTCATATACCCTAACATATCTAAAATATTATCATTTTAAGATATAATAAATGTAAAAACTCATTGAGGTATTTCAGATTCTTTTTTCATATTAAAACTTCAAAATCCAACTTGTATTTTACCCCTTATAACACATCTCCATTCAGACCAGCCACATTTTAAGTGCCTAACAGCCACTGGGGGCTCGTGGCTACTGTACTACACAGAACAGTTCTAGAGAAAAATGGATGAGCCTACTGTAATGTGTGCAAAACAATATTTGGCTGGCAGTTATAAAAGCTGATTAAGGATAGAAAGAAATTCTTCACTTCATTGAGTACAAAATGAAGAGAGACTGTACAGTCACATACCAAAACCTACATACACATATCATGTGGGGTTTATGTGGATATGAGAGCAGCAGCAGGAAGAAAAGCTACCCACTCCCCCCAAAAATGGGTAACTACAGGCAGGTGAACACCACATATATTACAAAAGAAGTTCTTGTCTAAAGGAATAAATTCTTAACCAAAAAATTACACAATGTATGCTGTATAAAATAGCAACATCACTTTGATCCTTTAGAATATCACAAAATATAAGGATTGATAACCATCTTAGAGCCAGTCTATCCTGTCATTGTAGAAATCTAGGAATGTAAGTGTCTTTAGAGGAATGTAATGGGACTCATGGTCAGCATATTAATTTTACTATAATAGGGCTTTTTACACTCCTATGCCTTGAGAACAAACTTTGTGAGTTAACTCTTTTAAGCAATTATTTTTACAGTATAAAAAATGCTGCCCTAAATGGCATCCTTAGAGCTGAAAGATGCATCTAATCAACCTCTTTAAATATAAACCTTATTATTACTAGAAGTGAATTACTTAAGCTCTAGGAAGAGTCTGTGATATGCTACTTTATTAGACTAATTGAAGGTTAAATCATAGTGAAAAAAAATCCCTCTATTCTTGTTAGTATTAAAAAAACAAAATTAGGAGTATTCTTGTTACTGAAATTGTGCTTTCCTCCACCCAATTCCATTTTAACACAAATTTCTGACTTTTTGTATATAGGCTTAAAATAGACTTAACTTTTAAATAAGGAAAATGTGATTTTTATAGATGAATATGTATATTTTTACCAATGTATCATTTCAAATGAAACCATTATGTAGAAAATCAGATGAACGGAATCACTTATATCCTTTTAAGAGAATATAATGCAACAATATATAAATACTACAGTATACACTCCATTAATTCTGGTAACCATAAATACCACTACATTTTAAAACATGAGAGGTTTTTAAAAAGTGCAAATGAAATGCAGAATTTGAATTAACTTCTATATTTAATCATCCAAAATAATTTAACAAGAAACTTTTAACTAAAAAATTGCATGTTAAAGAAAAAGTGATTAGCACCAGTAAAGTTTCTCAGTGTCAGAAAGTTTATGCAATCTGTTTTTTGCTATGGGAAAGCGATATTGCTTTTTGTATCAATAATGGCGCGCCTCTCAAAAAGTGAATAGAAAACACTAAGGTGAATTTTAGGACTGTTATCATTATAGGCTCATATAATGTATAAATGAGAGAATTATCTCCTCTTAGCAGGGTATGAGGATAAGGAATTTGGAGATTTTTTTTCCTACTATTTCTGCCACCTAAAATATTGTCTAGCACTAAGTGGCTAAAAAAAATTTTAAGAATAAATGAATGAGACAGGAAAAGAATAACTCAAAAACAATAATGAGGCCGGGCGCAGTGGCTCACGCCTATAATCCTAGCACTCTGGGAGGCCAAGGCGGGTGGATTGCTCAAGGTAAGGAGTTTGCGACCAGCATGAGCAAGAGCAAGACCCTGTCTCTACTATAAATAGAAAGAAATTAATTGGCCAACTAATATATATAGAAAAAATTAGCCAGCCATGGTGGTGCATGCCTGTAGTCCCAGCTACTCGGGAGGCTGAGGCAGTAGGATCGCTTGAGTCCAGGAGTTTGAGGTTGCTGTGAACTAGGCTGATGCCACAGCACTCACTCTAGCCTGGGCAACAAAGTGAGACTCTGTCTCAAAAATAAATAAAAAAAAAAACCAATAATGAAAAGTTTTGTACTGAAAGACTCAGATGCTAGAAATAATCTCTAATTCAAGACTTTAATTTATAAATGAGGAAACATATGTGAGAAAGGTGTTCTATCCAAGGTCAGAGTTTCCTGTTCTGCTTTTGCTAATCTCAAACCTTTTAGCTGATTTTAGAGGCTTTTATAGTCAACTTTTGTTGATTTGTAAATGGATTTAAGATTTACTGTGAAATTTTAATCTGTAGCTGGCTTTGCTTTTTGTCGATTAGCACATACTGAACTGCAGCTCTTCATTGCATGAGATAGTGGCGTTACCCAGAGAAGGCCAAGTGATGTCATTGAAAACAATCTGAGCAGACAATTTTGTAACAAAACATAATAAACTCTGAAGTGGAAGGAAAGTTTCATTTAGGTTTATTATTATTTAGAAAAAACTCTACTTCCACCTCTCCATATCTATGTACATGGAAAACTGCTGTATCAGGACTAGATTTATACATTGTTTCTTATTTTACTCTTTATTATATAACCTTTAAGTCTATTGCTACACCCAGATTATGGTCTCTACTCTTTCCTACAAAAAGGAATCAGAGCTCTTGGACAAATGGCTGATTCCAAGTCTGGGTCTCGAAATGTATAAGATGATTTTGGAACATCTTGTCCTACCAGAAAACAAAGATTATTAGGGCTGTATTAAAAAAACTACTAGTCAAATACAGTATAATTAGAACACTGATAAGAATAACAATGGTAATAGACTGATATATGACATGTCTTTAAATCCATACATTCATAATATTTAAAAACTAACTCATTGGTCACCTTTGAAGGATGTTAGGCAAGCAAATCATTGTGTTGGTAACTGATACATAATGAAAAAAATCAAGCACTTGTCCCATCTTCCCTATAAGAACTAACTGTACCTCAGGGTAATCAAATAGCTGATGAAGTAGGAGTATCCCAGCTAATAAATTAAAAAAGAATGTTAAAATATCATCAGTTTGCAATCCCTAATTAAAATAATCGATTTAAACAATGTTCATCAGTGGATATTGAGATGAACAGAGTACCCAAATTGTATGCCTCCTGATAAAAGTAGACAATACTTCCTAAAATATATTTTTACTGACCAACATAAACATGATCCAAAAATATAAGAAAAAAGATAACCCAAAGATTCCAGCAGCAAAATCCATACTATGGAAAACCCTGTAGGATAAATGACGTAACTTCTGCAACAAACAAATTGTGTGTCTCTATGTGTGTTTGAGTAGGAGCCAACAGAGTCTTAAATGACCGAACTAATCAACTGCATGCATGGCCTTTATTTGGATTCTGATTCAAAAAACTGTTACAAAAATTATAAGAGTGGATAATTTGAACACTGCCTGGATTTCTGATGATATGGTAACTATACACGATTTCATATATAATAAAACTATATATATGTATTTTTTAAGTGTGACAGCTAGGATATTTACAAGTAAAATGAAATGGTCTCTACGGTTTTATTCAAAATAATTCTAAGGTTGGGCAACATGTGAGGGTACAAAATGGGTTCATTTATACTATTCTCTATATAAATTATCTTGAAATTTTTCCAAAAACAATTTAAAAAATAAAATACAAATACAAAAAAAACAAGTCTATTAAAACTTCTTTCTTATCTGCATTGCAGATAATGTTTCACATCTTTTCCTAACATGCTGTAAAGATAAGTGAGTTCATTGAAGGTGCTTGGTCTAAAGTCCTGTTAATCAGCGATGAAGACAAAATGCTGTTACTAAAATAAGCTATAGAACTTATACATACTCTAATGACAAAGAAAGCATACCTTCACAAGACATGGCAAAGAATGTCTGAAATCTGTAAAGCATAACCATAAATTAAACTAAGTATTAGGTATGATTAGTATCAG